ATCACTTCTGGGATCAAATTTACCTAGAGAATCTTTGCCATTGTTGTGCACAAAGTTTTTGGGGTGGGGGGGCACAGTAGGTAAGAAAAAAAAGAAGCGTACAGAGCAAAAAAACGAAAAGCGAAGGGGGTGTTGTGCGGGAGGAGGGGAGCTAATAAGGAAAAAGAAATTAATAGCCTGTTTGGCCAAGCTTCTCCAATCTCAAAGTATTTTTTTAAAGTATTTTTTTTTTCAAAGTTAAAGTGTTTGGCCAAGCTTTTAGAAGGAAAAAAAGTGCTTTTGAGTAGAAGCAAAAGCAGTTTTGGAGAAGCAGAAAAAAATAACTTCTTCCTAGAAGCACTTTTTAAGAAGCACTTTTGAGAAAAATACACTTAGAAATACCTTTTAAAAGCTTGGCCAAACACTTATTGCTACTTAGAAGTATTTTTCAAAATAATTAGCCAAACACAAACGGTTTCTCACCAAAAGTTCTTTTAAAAAAAGTATTTTTTAAAAAAAGCAGTTTTCAAAATAAGTTGATTTTCTCAGCTTGGTCAAACGGGCTATAGATGGGGTTGGGGGCGGGGAAGAACAGAAAGAGACAATATCTCTTTTGCTTTTTCCTTTTGTTACTTATTTTATCTTTATTTTTTAATTTTATATTTCATTCTTATTTTAATGATTTTTTTCTTCTTATTCTAATTATTTTTTGGTTAAAATCTTCATATTCACGCTCGTTGTCCGCGTGAATTACACCCACTTTGTCCGGCTCAACTATTTTGTTGCCACATGTGCTTGGTCAACGGTCAGAGGGGTTTAGAATATAGGTTTTGATCAAGTTAAAGTGTTTGGATGAAAACAAGTAAAGTAGGAGGACCGGAATGTCAAACCGGAACAAGTACAAGGGTCTACTAGGCTATTCTCATATATGATGAATCGTGGCAGATAAAAAGGCAAAAACTTCTATGCATATACAACAATAACAACAAACCTAGTGTAATCCCATCATTAGGGGCTGGGAAGGGTAGTGTGTACGCAAACCTTACCCCTACCCTGTAAAGGTAGAGAGACTGTTTCTGATAGACCCTCGGCTCAATGAACAATAAAAATAAAGCAACAAATAATAGCTCTATGTGACACCTCCCAGTAAAAAAGCCAAGTGTGGGAAACAACAAACTAACAAAAGTAATGAACGTGAGGAATGGCCCTTCAAGAGAAGGGAAAATATTTTTCAAAACTCTTTTTTAACTTTCCCCACCCTATNATATATATATATATATATATATATATATACTAGTTTTAGTGTACGTGCGTTGCACATGCCTTTTACATCAATCAACATAGAATATAACAAAATAATAAATTGGTGCATACATTGAAACAATAGCTGAATTTTAGTATACATACAAAGTTGATGAATTTAGTTGAATTAGTTATATAACTATAAATATTTTATTATAGTTATGAGATATAAATTCGTTATGTTGTTGTATCTCGCCTACTATCTCTTTAGAATACAAGTAATATAAATTTGGACTATCAATTGACCAATGACACTAATAGCTTGTTTTGCCAAACTTCTAAAATCAACTTATTTTGGAAGGTGTTTTTCGCAAAAATACTTTTTTAAGAAGTATTTTTGGTGAGGAGCAACTTGTGTTTGGTTAATTAATTTGAAAAATACTTTTGAGCAGTAATTAGTATTTGTCTAAGCTTTTAAAAAGTGCTTTTAAGTGTATATTTCTCAAAAATATTTTTCGAAAAATACTTTTAGGGAGAAGATATTTTTTCTGCTTCTCGAAAAATTCTTCTGCTCTAACTCAAAAAATACTTTTTTCCTTCTAAAAGCTTAGCCAAACACCTTAACCTAGAATACTTTTGGTTAAAAAAAAAAAACTTTTGGCCAAAAAGAAGCTTGGCCAAACAGGCTATAAATATTTATATTACATCAAAATTTGTATAATGGTTATTTCATCAAAATATTATAAAACTTAATTACTGAATATAAATATTTATCTAATTGTTTATCCTGTAGTGCGCTTCTACATTCCCAAATATATATTTCTTGAAATTCTAATCTATTAAATAATAAATTTTTCGTAAAACTCTAGTCACTGAATTAGGTCGGTCTTGAGGAAGTTGTTCTTTAAAAAATAATTCTAGATCTTTATCCAATCATATTATAAATATTTATTATTTTTCTTAATATGTTAAAAGCTTGAAAAACTAAATAATAATTTAAAGTTTTGAAAAGGAGATCTAATGTATTCCTAATGAAGCTTTAAAATTAATGGTAACTTTTTGACAATTGATTTATCATCAAGATTCTAAAACAAATTATGTAGAAAAATGAAGCTAAGCGTTTTTTTATAATAAAAGAGATTAAAAGTTTAAAAACTTGCTCGACATAAAAAAAATTACATGGTATATATTAGAAAATTACATATTTAAAGATTGATTTTTCTAACTTAGAGGAAGGTTCAGTAAACAATATGTATTATGACTATAGATTATAAGTACAATCAATTTTTCATTTCCATGAAGAATAATAAATAAATCTGATTTTATTTGTCAAGATTCTAAAATAAATATTTTATGTAGGAAACAAATTAAAGCTACTTTTTATAACATAAGAAATTAAGTTTAAAAACATGTTCTGATATTTTTTTCTCGGGTTGAGTCTTGTTCTTAATTTTTTCTTTAATATTTATAAGTCGATTTTTTACATGGTAATGAAAAAACAAAAATTGTAACCTAGGTACATAGAATTCGTTCTTTCAACTTTGTATAAAAACTAAAAGAGGAACAATATAATCTTTATTTAGACAACAAAAGCAATTTTCTTAAATTAAAAAGGTATGGTGGTTGGTAAATAGAATATGGTTATATGGAATTAGTAAACAAAATGTGGTTATTTGGATGTAGTTTCTGGTTATATGGAATTGGTAAACAAATATGGTTACTTGGATGTAGTTTCGTTCGACAATTAAATCAACGTGTAATTGTTGTTTTTAAATTCTTATATATTAGAAATTAGAAATTCTTACATAATTCAAATAAGGAAATATATTTAATAGTCAAAATTTTATTGATTTAAATGTTCTAAATCTCAGGGAGATAATTAAATGACTATTTTTGTCTATTGTGAACTCTATTTTTAAAAGGATAAAAAAGGCGAACGACATTTCGTTAAGGGCCTTCGTAATTTTAATATAGTATAGATAGATTAAAGGGCCGATTGTAAGAGTAACTCTTTATATGTAAAAATCCCTTCTTCCTTCAGGTTTATAAAGTATTAGAGTACGCGATTTGCGAGTGTATCCTATCTCAATAAATACTATTTTTTTAAATTATATAAATATTGTATTAAAAATTATGTTTGAGTTATAAAATAAAAATACAAGTGTTGATCTTAGAAACTGCAAAACAGAAGTAGTTAATCATGAGTTACTATATTCAACTTAAAAGAAATTCTAGTTTTATAATTTTGTCACCT